AATTAAATAAGTTTTATCATAATTTATGGAATCTTTGGGCTTTTAAGTTGGCCATATACATGCGTTATAAATAATTTTTAAATATTGATAATATAATATGTACAAGACAGAAAACTGATACCACTGTTATATACTCAAGTTCACCAACAAATATTGTGGTATATTGAATACAATTTTAAACTGTATAAATGTTAGTTCAAAAAAATAAAAATATTAATTTTGCCAACCTAAGAGTTTAGAAGAAAAATGTATAGACTAAAAGCTAAAGACTCGTATAAAATGATAGTTTAAACTATGGAATTCACCATTGAATATAACAAAAAAAAAAAAACAGAAAATGTGTCCAACAGTTCAGATATGTAAACAATAATTATTCTTTTTTAAGAGGATGTAATTATTCGATTTTCTCCTGTGACAACTCTAAAATTTACCTATTGTTAAACTTAAAGCTAAGTATTATCAGTTTTTTTACGATTTTAATTTTACTACAATATATTACGACCATTTCTTATATGTAAAACTTTACATATTCATAAGTTCATAACATGCATATTGCATCAAAATCATTATAAATATAAAAATATCTTAGAAAAAATAATAATAACTAACACGAAACTCTTATTAATTATGAGTTTAATAATAGGCCATTCTCTTTAATAATAAAGCTATAAAGACAAGGGTTTTCACTAATATGGTAATGTTCTATCAAAGAGAAAAAACTAATAGTATGTCGATGTCCATCTAAGTCAAAACATAAAATGTCTTCAGAAATGTTTACTCAGTTGTAAAACATGCTATTTCTTAAAACAATAATTTTGTTAATTAAAATTATATTATAATGCGTATTATGTTGATAAGTTTAGGAATTATTTATTATAATTATATACATTTATATTGACAACAATTTTTATACATACAAAAATATATTTTAAATCATTTAAATTAGCTGAGAATTGTTAATATGCATGACTTGTATTCTGAAAAAGCATTTCCATAAATATATCATAATCAGTTTTTAAAAAGTTAAGTTTAATTGTCATCAGTGTTGTACTTTATTTTATGTTGCAATTGATAACTCAAGTTTTAATTAGGACCGTTTTATGTACCTATAGAAATATTTAATATGTATCCATGATTATTCTGTTTTGATATGTATTTAAACATGGTTATAAGTTGTATCAGTGCCAGTGATTTATTTTATTTTAAATAATTTAATACAATAAATAATATTATTTCATCTATTTTTCTGAACATTCTTATAGATAATTTATAATTTGTTAAGTAGGGCATCTATACTATGTATCTACTAAAAACTTTAAAAATAATAAAAAGGTTATCATTATTCATAATTATTATTTGAAAGTGAACATAATTATTTTCAACATAAATAAGAAAATTAAAAAAAAAACCTTCATAAAAATATAAAATTGAATAAATAATATTTATAATTAAAAGTTTTGGAACAGAACTAACTAACTAACCTAACCTATAGTTTTTAATGGTCCCATTAAAATTAATGATATTACATTTTATGTATTACACATTTCTTTAATTGTCATAGTTTTAATTTCATCCTAATTTTAAAAATTTAAACCGGATTTCTGTTTTATGAAAATGTATGAAAATAATTGATTGTTTACTAATACAAATATTATGTGAAAAATATTATGCCATTATTAGTTATTTAAAACTAAAAATTATTTAATTATCCAAATAATTAAATTGTCTTTATATACTAACTCTAAACCGAAGCCCTTAAAATTGTTGCCCAACTTAACAGCTGGTTTATAAAATGCACATAATATATAATATTATAATATCTGTTCAAGTAAATATATAATATAATAATATAATAATTTATAATCCACTTGTCAATATTTTTGAGTTTTATTGTTAAAAACATTCATATATTATTAAACTATAATTTACTTATGAATGTAATCAATTTACATTGTCACTTTCCCCAATTCCTAATTTTGTTCAATATTAATATTTGAACTTATTGCTAACATAACCTAATTTTTAAAATGTTTTGAAATTAATTAAATTAGTTTTATTATAATAATTAAATAAAAAGTAACACATATGTTTATACTCTTTCCTTATCATGATATTAAGACTGCAAACCAATAAAAAAATATTAATATTGCAGCTTTGAAAAAAAGACTAAGTATATTATGCAATTATATCATTAAATAAATTGTAGTATAACTGCATTTAATATACTAATTAGTAAGTCAGGTATTAGATGTCTATACAATAATATAAGCAAATAATTTCTTGAAATTTGTGTTTCTACTAAGTGATTTATGGCTGATTTAGTAAGTAAAATATTTTAACAACCTTTACTTAAATCAGTTGTATAGGATAGTATCATTTTATTGTAGGTACAAGTGTACGAGAAAATATTTCAATGCAGATCTTGAAAAAAAAATTAATTCGTTTTTTTATTTATTAATGTTTTAGATGACTTTTTTTGTAATAGGTATTAATACTTTGTCTTCGCCATATAAATATTATTAAAAGCTTGGAAAAACATATTTGTCCACTAGTTTAAAACTTAATTACCTAATTTATGTCTTAATCATTAATGTCAAGGAAGTATTTTTTCCATCAATAATAATTAGCCCCCTCCCCCTCAAACATACTAAGTGATCACAGGTCACTAGTATAAATACTGAATATAAAGTAACTTGTTTAAAATATACTTAGAGGGCTAACAAAAATAAGAATAATTTGGAAAAAACGTTGGTTTTAAAAGTTGTTATCTACTTTATTTCTTATCGATTAGATTCCTATTTAGGTAACTAATCCGTTAAAAGAACATTACAGGAAAATTATAATTGCTAAAATATCCTGAGATAATACTTGTTATATATTAGAGTAAATAATAAGTGCATAAATAATTTAAATAAAAATTACCTAAACTTAATGTAAATACTACATTTTATCAAAACTTCTATTTTCACCATTGATACATTTTCAGCTAATATAAGTAAAAAAAAATATTTACATATTATAATAAGTCAATTGACACCTTTAAAAGAATACAAAGCAAATGTATAGAGATTCATTAAATAAATAATAGGTTATAAAAATTAGTAACTATAAATAATCTAAAATTATAATTTGTATGTTTGATAAATACTAATTTTTAAGTCGTTAATTTACTTATTATGTACTGATTTTAGATTGTATAAGTTACATTGTGAAAATTAACAAGGCCAAAACTAGTAGATTTGATTAAGTATTTAATACTTTTGGCATTTGTGCATTATTATTTGAATTATTAACATTAATGATTGTCATAGCTTTTTAATACAGAATTTTTATACACAAAATGCAATTGCTATGAATCATTTTTGTCACCAATTTTTGACACTTATTTAGAATCTGTTTAAAATATTTATTGTGATCAATAAATGTTGATATATATTTTGTCTATTTACCATCTACTACATAAGTACTTGAACATGTCAATTACATTTATTAATTTAATATGTTATTGTAAAGAGTTAACTCTATATACTACTTATGATAATCACAATATTTAATAAAAATTTCGGATTTTTAGAGTATCTTAATCATAAGCAGAGCTATAATTTAATGTACTAAAAAACAACAAAATTGATCTATGCCATTGAATAAAATTAGTTCAAAATGTATGTTTAAGGCATGGAAGCTGGAAGGTAATAATACAAAAAATAATAAACGCAGTGGTATAGTATGGAAAACATTTTTCAACAAATAAGGTATACATTATAAAAAATAAATTAAGAAGCTTTATACAAAAATATGTTTTGAAAGAATTTATAAATTTATAATATTTTATGAATACCAATGGTCTTGTACTGTAGTATTGGTAAAAATGAAATCCATAATTTATCTTTTTACAAAATAAGCCTTAGAAAGTATAAACATTGAAAAAAAAGTTACACACATTATGGGGAAAATACAATATTGTTCATTTTTTTTATTAGATTTTAGTTGAAGGGCTATTACAGAATATTATTCATCATCATTCATTAAATGATAATTTATTCATGAAAAGTGTCTAAAACCAGATATTTTTTGTATACAATATTATATAAAAATAAAAATATTAACTACTAGTTTTGGGTGTTGTCTATCATCATGTTTCTTTTAAAATAAATCATAAAACAAAAAAATCACAAAATACTTTTTAAGAGCAGTAAGCACATGCAAATTTAAATAATTTACACTGTTATCACTGGATGATTTACCTCATTATGTATTTTTGTTGTTATTTATTATGTTTATTATATTACCATTGCATTTACTTATTGGATAAAATAAACACAGATTGAAAACAGAAATGGACATAGACACAGAATTAAAATAACAAAATACAATCATTTTGAACAAATTTAATATTGAATGTAATTATAATAAAAATAAAGACAATTTTATCAAATATTTTAATACACAATATAAATAATAAAATATGTATCAGTCTCGTTAAGTATTTGAAGAAATGTGTAATAAATACTATGTGAACGTCTTGCTAAATATTTGAATATATTTTTAATACATTTCATATTTTAAAATACAAAATATAAATATAATTTAAATCAATACACTGTTTTTTAAGAGAAATTGCAAAATATGAAAAACATTTGTAGAACCCTAACTTATTCAGTTAAAACAAAAATAAAATTTAAGAAAATAATTATTTGGTATTATTGATAGTATAATACAATAATATGGTCTTTATTCTTCTACAAACATAATTATTAATATTGGTTCTTTTTTAAATTTTAGTTACAAATATCAATATGATTATGAGTAATTTATTAATAGAAAATAATAAAATCATATTATTTTAAACGTACTATCAATTTGGGAGAATTTCTCAATCTGTCAACATTAATTATTAAAATGTGCACCTACAACCTTCAAAAAAAATATTCATATGTTGTTTGCTGCTTATTAGTTAAGATGATGCTTAAGTTGCATGTGTTGTCTTTGTCTTCCAAATGTATAACATAGCAAATTTCATGTTCACAATCTGGATGGGCATTATTAATTTATCGTGCTCTTGACCAGAGGTTCTCAAATTGCGGTTTGAGAACCGCTGCTCTAGACTATAGACATCACATTTATAATATACAATTATCACATTTTCTTATTTAAGTAAATTAACACAAAATATACAATGTAGAATTTTCAATTAGGTATAATCTTAATTATAATTTTATAATAACTAACAATAAAATCACCAAGTAAAGCGATCCAATCGACCCGTGTTGTCCATTGTTGAAACAAAAGGACTATACAAAAATATCCGCATTATAACAAAATTAAAAACTTGGTATGCTATAAACTCAATAAACGCTGCTTTAAAAGTATGACCGTTTATCAATTGTTTATTACTGTGTAGTCTATACATAAGATAAGGTACAACAAAATAACGAGGCTCTAACAGGAATTGAGCACAAAGAATAAGAGGTGTTACTATCCAATATGCCAATCTATAAGCAATCGAAGATTGCATCAGTGTTCTATCTACTAACCATAGACCGTATGCATACAACGGTACTGGTAAATATCTCAAAAAGACTGGTTTACCAGGACTGAACAACAGTCGCCAAACATAAAATATATAATGCCTGTTGTCAGCTAACAAGTACGGATGGGCAATAGTGTTAAAATGCACCAACCCAGATATTATAATTAATATAGTGAAAACTAGAACTTTGGACGTGTTATTGTGAATTTCACGAAAGGCTTTAGCTAAATTGAAATATTTGCTAATAGAATTGGAAGTTTGTCTTCCAAAATAGGCCTGAGATAACAACCAAGGTAATGAAAATGATAGTACAAATAACACAAAGTAGCACAACTGCATTGGATGAAAACGAGGAATGTGTGCTCTTCGATCACCAACAACTATATCACCATTATTTAACAAAACCACAAACAAAAAAAAAGATAAAATAACTACGATATTTGGGCTGGTGACACGTATACATTTCTGAAAAAATTCTATTAACTTCTTGGACTTATTCTTTTTTTTAATTGAACAGCAATGGTAGAATTCTATAATTGTAGCCTGAAAAAAAAAATCGCATTTAAAAATGATATTTGTAATTAATTGCATTACTGTACTACTTACTTGGATGTACGAAAATATAGAAACAATATTTTTTATAGCAGGAAAACATTGTTCGGCACAGTGACACACGTCTATAATGGATGCAAACACTAACCATGCAATATTTGTCTGACGACACAGAACAGAAAATCCACCAAATATAATTTTGACCAAGAAATTAGTCTCATTACTTAAATGGCTGGAGTACCATAAGAAAACAGAAGCTGTAGCCCATGCATCCGTATAATAAAGCATTGAATATGGAGCATAAATAACAGGGAATGTTGCTACACTTAATGCTAAAAACACAAAAGACCATTTGGCAATCTTTGTTTTCTTATTTTCATTCTGTAACAAAAATTAGAATATTAGTAATATGCTATTTGTCCTCATGTTTCAGATTCAGACTTAAGTCTATTATGTATTACAATAAGTGATGAACATTAATAAAACATTCTCTGACATCTTTCATACTTTGAGAATTGAAAATTAAAATTGGATAAATATTAAATTAAAAAAATGAATCAAAGCTAATAGCAGTATTTATATTATTACTGTATTTCAGCAATTAAAATTTAAACACTAACCAGAAAAAGAAGTAGTTGACAACGGTAAAATGCATAGTATAAGCATGCTGGAGCTCCCACCGCATTAACAGCCCGCAATGCAACCAAAGAACATGGATCACTGACATGAAGGACATCATTATCTAATAGACCAAGTAATGACAATATTGTGTCATAAATCTTCATAAAAGGTACTAACACAGTACTTGACAACAGATAAAGTCCAGGTAGTGTAGTTATTTTTGGATCCCACTAAAAATAAAAACATCAATGTTTATTTAATTATATTTTATAAATAATTAAACCAATGAAATAATGCACACACTATTAGTATAATACTAATCAATAGATCGTTTTGGAATTTATGTATAATAATGAACAGTTATACCAAATTCATACATGAAAATTAAAAAATAAAACACGAACGAATAAAAAAAATAATAAAACATAAACACACTCATATATATATAAATACATATAGATGTGAAACATGTAGGTAGAAGTGTATGGAACTATGGAATATGAAAAAAATTTGAGGTACAGAAATATAACAAGGGAGACTATAATGGTGTTTTATAAGGTATGTGATCAGTGCCAAAAAAATGTAACACAATAAAAAAAAATTCAGTACAGTAGGAGTCGTGTGTACCCAATCATGAGTAAGTTATGGAAATGGATGTGTAAAATTTGAATTCAATGATAAATCATTGGATTCTGAGGGCAGGTGGTCTAACTTTTTGTTAATCAAAGTTACCAAGCAATTATTTTATAAAAGTATAAAAATTTTAAATTTTTTACTATAAAAAATATGTAGTGAGAATTTTAAATGTTGACCTACCTAAAACTATTTAGATCCTATTTGCTATCAAAAACATCTACCAAAGTTGAAAGAGCATTTTTTATTCTAGAGAAAGTGTCTTACATTTTTATTTATTTATTCTAAAAGAAGATATTCAATTGAATAAAAACAATTTGTACACGACTAAAAGTACAAAAATACAATAACCAAATTAAGAAATGTAATTAAAAACATTAAGATTGAACTTATATAAAATTAATTACAAGTAGACTACTTTTATAGTAAATCTAATCTAACAAGTAGGTAATATTGCCATAGACCTACAAAGGGTATATTTATAGGTCTATTGTAATCGCATGTCTAGACAATATATTATGTGATTTAGGGACAGTTGTACCATCTACGGTTATACTTCGATCACGCTTAATCAGCTGGTAAAAGATATTATAACCGACCAAATTCGGCAAATTAAACTTCGGTTAACTTTAATCAGAGATGGTACAACTGGTCTTTAAGTTGACAAATATAACATGAAAATGATCTATGTGTTTTAATGTTAATAAAATAATAAATTGTTGCTAGGTATATCATAGGTAATTCCAATAAATGCACTACCAGTATCAATGATGATATAACTGTAAGTGGGTTATTTAACAGGCAGTTTTTCAAACTTTAGTCATACTGAAAATATAGTGAAGAACCTAGGAGGCTAGATACATAACATTATTATTATTAAACCCACATAAACTTAACTTTAAATTTATTAGCTATGTCAATGTTCTTTACTACTATTCTCATTTATTTATTTTGCATAAACTAGCACTAAATTAGTGTCTTTTAAAAATATAGTCCAATGCTACATAATTATAGTCCTACACAAAACACAAACAGAGTCATTACCTGCTAAAAGATACAATCTAATGATTGTACCTAAAAGCATAAGAAAAAAAATCTACCAACTTTATGAAACTCTCCTTGACAATAGTGTCGTGCCTGTGGCACATGAAATTCTTCATCTATATAATACTCGTTGGTGCCGAACAATGGTTGCACAACATATCGTAACAAATACCAGGTGACGATAGACAGAACAACGGCGGGTAAGATCGGAACATTCAATCCACAGACCGTTTCAGAATACTGAGCAAGTGGTTTCTGTCTACCATTACGAGCCACCTTTGGCGCCATCAGATTTATGCTAGGATCCTACAAACTGTATAAACAATCGTCGATCGCAATTCCGTCGACATTATCGAAAGCCCACTAACGTAGGTAACAATAGTTAATCGCTTCCTTATGAGTGAGTGCTAGATATTATAAAAATATTATCATATAAAAATTGAATATTATGAAATATGAATTATTTTATAACGAAAATGACGTAAACATATTAAGATTTCAGATTTTTGAATGTCGGACGTGTCGCGGCGTTAACGTGACAACGAATGATAAGCAACGTATCATGGTTGATAACGTACTGATAGTACTTAGATCAGTCGCAACTTTAATGTTCCAGCCGTCGTGTTGGTTTTGCCGCCGTTCATGCTACCGTCACCGCAGAATAGAAATAATTCTAATTAGTAAACATAGACATAAATTATCATCATTCTTGTATTTTCATTTATGGTTTATATTATATCTATAGAGGTGGATTAAAATCCACTTTGAAGCCCTTAACATGACTAAAATACTTAGATTTTATATTAATTTAACATTATTTTTTTTTATATGACTATTAAATTACTATATTATAGTGAGTTATGGGTACTCGTGTAGTATGCACCAACTACCAAGAGTTTACAGGTGTCCATAGCTTTTTAGTATAGATGAATAACAATTTTTTTAACTAAAATTAACGTATTTTACTCGTATTGTTGATGATCATTATTGTCAAGTACTTTAATACCTACGTTCTATTATATTGTTAGCTGTCTTTACGTCATCCCAAAAAACATCAAAAATATTGTAGGTTGTATTTTAATGGACCACAACTAAATAGAGAGGTCGAGAGGGGTAGTTTTGTATGAGTTAAACTTAGTTTTTAAGTTTTCATGTATAAATAATAAATTTAATAGGAAAAAAATGACAAAGAAGGAGGGGGGGGGGTAAACACTCAACTACCACCCACTATGCTCCAGGTTTTAATAATGATGGAATGCTTCAAGTTTATACGTTTCAATACTTATTAGAAATTAAGTGTAAATTATCAAAGCTTAGGAATTGAAATTAAAATTATATGTATTTTAACTTACAGCCATAAAAAAAAATGCATCTTTGTATTTTTGACATTTTTACCAGAGACTATGAAATGTTGGACTACATTTTCAAGCATTTGAACTAACAAACAAAAACTTGTTCAATATAAATTGTAAAAGATTGGTACCTATTAAAAAGTTGAAAATATACAATGCAGGTTAAGTAGTACAGTATGCATATATATAAACCGAGACCCACTTTTAACAAAGAAACTTTTTTAAAAATGTTTAGTATTTTTGAAAGTTTTTTTAAAATGTAAATTTTGGGCATTTACAAAATTAGATTTATGAAAAAAATTATATTTTAGCTTTTTTTTATACGGACATTTTTTAATTTCCGATTCCAAAGCACAATTTTTTTAAGTACTCATTACTTCAATATTAGAATCAAATTTTGGATCAGTAATTTATGAATTACTCAAATGCTTAAAATAATAATCTTTGAAAGGTTTAAATATGAAATTAATAATGTTTGTTGTAAAAAAGTTAAAAAATGATACTAAAAATTGTAAATTAGAGATCTTATAATATAAAATAATAGAAAAAGATTAATAGTATTTTGAAAAATATGAATAGAAACTTTAATAAGTAAATGCCATTAGGAACAAATAAGAAGTTAATTTAACATGATAACAATATAAACACTTTCATCTTCTTATAACTAAGCTAACTATATACATGGCGAAAATTAAATAATCTTTTGAAGACAAATAACTTAATTGTTTCTGATCTGAGATACATCTGTCATCTGTTGGAATTAATATAATATTATTCTTCAGCTGATAATTTAATTGTTATTTTGTATCAAATGTAGACAACATTTCATGTATTTTGTCATTCACCTCACAACCATTTTCTATGGCATATGTTAAACAATCTATGTGTCCTCCCAATCCTGCGAAGAAGGCTGTATCTTCATGCCATGGACAATCGTTTTCATGTGCATATATCATGCAGCTTAAACATCCCTTTATTGCAGTGAAGCAGGTAACTAGGTCGTTCCATGGACATCCATGTTCATGGGAGTATATCAAGCATTCAAGATGACCATTCAATGCAACACAATAGCTTACGTGTTCGTTCCATGGACACCCATTTTCATGAAGATATCTCAAACAGTCAATATGACCGTTTTCTGCCGCATAACAACATGTAAATTCGTCCCACATTACATCCTTGGTATGTAGGTATTTTAAACAGTCTAAATAACCTTTTTTTGCAGAAATGTTCATTGCGTCTTTGGTAACAGGACATCCATTTTCAACCGCATATTTCAAACAATCCAATTGGCCGTTACATGCAGCGCTCACACATGTTGTTTCATTCCATAAAAATCCTAAACGATGAGCAAATGATAAACAATCATAATGGCCATTGAATGCTGCATCCGCACACAATTCAGTATTTGATGGATTTATATGGTTTTCTACCATAACATTCTTTAGTTCTATACAACAATTTTTCACATCAACTTTAACGATGTTCCTGGGAACAGTGTTATACCATTCTTTTGCATCGTCATTGCAAGCCATAAAGGCCAGCTTGATTAGATCAAACATTGTATATTTTGTATAAACCAACAATGCCTAAGTTTAGCAAGTTTTCTCTTCTCAAAATACTATTAAGTTCTTGAGTTTACCTAAAATAAAAGTAACCAATAAATATCAACTAATTTGTAAAAGTTATTAACAAAGTATGATTAAAGTGTACCTTAATCTCACAAATGCAATTTTTCTTTATGAAATTAATTGTTCACAATAAATGCATAATCTGTAAACAAATGCATAACACATATTAATAATAACACAATTATATATAATTATTTTATAAGCACTTATGATAGATATATATGTGCTAAACAATTTCAAAAATATTTTTCTCAATCTCAATGATGTACATTACATATGGGTATATTGACGTATAAACAAATTCATATTTTAGTGGAAGGCACTAAGAAACAACTATTATTAGCCTTAGCAACATACTTGATTTATTATTTACATTTCATTGTGGTTGGAATTAAAGTATATATGTTATAGGCAAAGCAGACTATCGAGCAATGTATCCATTATGGCATCCACTAAATTTCAAATGGCAATGTAAGGAAATTATAAATTATAAGCCTATTAGTCTTATTTAATTCAATTTAATTAGAAAATCAGTGATACATTTAAATAATATTCAATTTAGCACATATCTATTTTTGATTTTAACACATAAAATAAAGCTTTTATTATAACATTTAATAATTATATTGTGGCTCGGCATAGCGCATTGGCTGTTACCAGTCGCGGAATGTGACTGGGAGTAAGTAATGGCCACAGCTACTAGCTCCCGGATGGGTGACCACCCTGGTTAATAATAGTTAAAAACCCTACCACACATACACGTGTTTGCTACCTACCGTAATACCTGTAACAATTGTAAAAACAACCTACCATACCAACCTTACCCCTACAACTGGTAATGCAGACCTTAGTCACCAGGCTTAATATCAATAGAAAAAAAAAATTATATTATTGGAATCATGTTTTATCTTATAAGCATTTTTTATTCATATTACAACCTTCATAACTCTGGGTTGTGAATTTATAGAAAAATTTATTATTTTAAGCTTACTATCTATATTACAATTTTGTTGAAATTTGTGATTTATAAGGTTTTAGGTGATTTTTTTATTTTTCATTACTTTTTTCAATATTTTAAAATAATTTCCACCAATTAAAACTTTGTGAATTATTTTTTAATTTTTATCTCGTGAATATTATACACATTTTTTACACTAGTTTATACAGCGGAGTATACTTTCTTTGACCTATGTATAACCTGCTAAGGAAAAATAGTATTTTAATGAGTTACCCAAAAACATTAGGCAAACTATGCATTTATTGTATTAACATACACACTTTTTACCAATATACATTTACATGTAAGTTTTGTTAAATGATGAAAATGAGGACTTCTGCCTAAATTAGTTATACATTATAATATGGAATAATGAATATAAATTATAAAATTATTAGATGGATGAATTAGATATGTTGTGGTTCAATACTTTTTAATAATTTAATTTTAAAATGCTGTAAATCTAACAAAGAGTCATGTGGCATATATTCATATTTAATACGAATAGCTAACAATTTATTAGTATTTATTTGACATCGGTTCAATAAAGTCTGCAGTGCCGTAGCCAGGGAGTAATTCCCACTCACCCCCAAATTTTTTTTTCTGAACAATAGTATCTTAAAGTAACAGGTGATAAGTATTTTAGTCCTATAAAAACAAGAGAAAAAAATAATGCCCCAAAAATATTTCTAGATTTACCACTAATCAATTATTACAAAGAGTTTACTATGTCTCAAAAGAAAACAAACACTTTTCAGGTGGTCAACTGCTAGAATTCTGACTTTATCATTGTTTTCAGCATGCTTAACTACCTATGTTAAAAAAAGGGGGGCGCCCTGTAAAACACATAAATTCTATTTCAGCTTATAGAATTAACTACAATTGACGAAAATTTCCAGTAGAGATTGAATTCTACAAACATACCACTATTTTAGAATGAACATTTGTTGGAATCAAAAATATTAGATTTAATCATCATTAAGAACATAGATCTTATGATTTACCTATGATTTTTTACTAAAAAAAATACTTTTTACAATCTTTAGTAGATTACTTAAATTCAAATTTTTATAATCAAATGTCTGTATAAACAAAATATTTATCCAGGTTTAATTAATATAATATAAAATATAGGGTATAAGGGCTTAATGTGTTAACACAAGAAAAGGACATTGCGGAAATAACATTTCACAAGCATTGCAATCAAAATTTCAAACTACATACTGAAAAAACATAAATGTTGACAAATATTATGCTTTAATCGTTCACATTAAAATATTTTGAAAACATATGGCAAGTTAAATAATAGCACACAGTTATTTAATTCTTATCTTAGTATTGAGCTCAATTTATCGTCTTGTTATTACTTAACACAACCACATGTATTGTCTTCACCTTATACATAAACTCATTTACAAAATATCAAACTTGGGGCCAGCAGAACCAATTTAGTGCTTTTAGCTTATAAATAAATGTAAACTTATTATTATATCAACAAACTCATAGGTAAGATTATTATCTAAGACATATCGTAGGGGTTTATTGATTTATTCTTTTTGAAGCAAGTAATGATAATTTTAAAATTGTAATATTTTTTTATTATTATAATTAAAAATCTACAAGATGCCATGGATTAACAATTTAATTTTGAACATAAAATTGGTTCTAATGTACACAAATTTGCCATGTTGAACGTTTGTAAAACACAGTAAACATACAGGTGTGGTGTACTGTCCTAATACAAAGGTTAATTACATATATTAATATACTCATTCTGTATGTAAAATAATCATCATTGCTTGTTTATTACAATTTTGGTGTGATAATTATGGTAATTCGAAGAAAAAAAAAAAAACTAACCTCGACGTAGAGTCGAGGTGAATTAATTACGTGTAATTTTATTTCAAATAAAAATTAATACTATATAATAATTTTGGATTGATCGTCCATAATATTTACCTCTTAAGCGATTATTTAACGATTGTCCAACGCAATGTGTTCAGTATACATATTAAATTACAAACATTACGCATTCAACTATTGCTATGTATGTTGGTACAACAATTATATTATAATATTAAAAATCGATTGTATAGCTGTGTATAAATCTACGTAAGTTCGTAAGTGGTAAACGACAAATGGTGATAAACTGATAAACTAAAGCGATCTGTTTATCTTGTCTTTTTGACATTTCGTCGTTTCGTCGATTTGTCGTGCAACTATCATATTCGTTTGATGGTTTGGTGCGTTTACCTTCATTTGCTGATAACGAATATAGTTATATCTATAGGGTCTACACCGTTGCGGCGTCGTTAAAACTGCGCGGCGCGCGGTTCAAATGTGCTTGTGTTTTGAAAAACAAAGATTCGAATCGAACTGCCGATCGCGTATTGGGACAAGTCACGATATAACGAACTCGATCGGACCGATACATACGCTCAAGTGGGCCACCAGACGTCGACGCCGCATAGTGTGTTCTCTCGTTGTAGTGCGCGTCGGTAATGTCATTTGTCAGTTAAAAAATGTGCCGCTAACGAACGAACGAATATTATCTCACGAATCCCGCTCTTCATTAATCTGTGTCGATGTCAATTTTTTAAAGAAACATAATGATTAATTTAATGTCGAACGAACAACGGCAAAACCTATGAATTTGCGCTACCAATATGACACATGATAAAACTCAATATGTTATGCATTATGTGTATCCATTAGTTTTATCATTGTAGAATACAGCGCCACATACGTATTAAATCAAGTAGGTATTTAATTATAACACATTTTACCGTATCTAATAACAATTGAATACGATATAGTTTAGGGACATGTTAACATATATTTAAAATTCTGACACGAACAAGTACTGCAGTTTTTGATTTCAGAATAATGTATTCACGCGAACTATTTTGAAGAAAATTGATAAGTATAGTTTTCTAAAATATAAAAATACACACTCTTAATATTAAAACCATTCATTTTGAACAATTATCGTAAAATATATTTCAAGATTTGAGATATCTAACTTGTTGTGTATTTAACGAGCTCCGAAACATCTATGAGACGTTAAATCTTCTAATGCACCGATATCATTCTTATAGATTTCTGATATGTATTTAAACCTAAGTCTGTGATGTATATGTATGTTTAGAATTGGCCTATACTAAAAACTTTTTTGGAACTATACTTGATTGAAATGAGACATTGATGAAAACTAACGTCTAAGAGACGCTTAGTAGGTACCTAGATACTATTAACACATATCAATTATATTTGTTTTATGTACAATTTCAAAGGTCTAATAGTTTTAATATGGTATTATTATTATTAGGGCAGAGGACTTAGGACTTGTAGCATTTGCTTTTTTGTTTTGCACGATCACAAAAATAGCAGAGTAAGAAACAAATACGTTTCATGCTGAAATAAAGCTAGTTTTGAAATTTTATTTTGCATATAAATGCATATTTCATGAGAAATGTACAGAATGGTGCTTGGTATAAATGTTTAGACCCAGGCCAATAAAATTTTTATTTTTTCATAATTTATATTATACATTTTTAATATTGTTTATTTAACATCACAACATTTTTGTATAAATATTACAAATGTACCTATTATACATAAAAAATACATCAACGTTAATACCATGTTACCTACTCACTATAAGAAATGCTAGTGGTTAGGTTTTATTTAATAGTAACTATAAAATAAAAATGCAAGTATACTTATTAGTTAGGATGGGCGCACACCAAAGCTATGGGCGCAGGTTCCAGTGCGGCCTTGCAGTGCTCTGTATGCAGTTTTCATGGCAGTTTTTTTATCTTTGCATTGGTGGGTGCTCTAAAGGTACCAAAGTTTATAAAGCATGATTTTATAAAATATAGAATATTATACTATAACTTGCTTGTTTACATGTAAGTATTTAATCACTAACACGATTTCAAATAAAACAGTGGCTTTTACTTTTAAAAAGAATACAATTATTTGACGTACTATCAAATTGTATGAAACGAATTAATAACAATCTATAATTTAAGCTCATTAAATAGTTTTAGTATGGTAGTGTTTTGTTAAAATAACATTAATTTACTAATATAGACGGTATGCCTAATAACTTTTCTATTATGCGGTACAATTTTGATTTTTTTATTATATTCTAAAATAACATAGATGACTATTCAAATTCATTGGGACCACTTCTAATTTGGATTCTGAACATTTTTTTAGTACTATTTATCTTCAATTACAGGGTGTAACAGAAATACCTGACTTATGAAATCAGTTTCTTTTTCCATACATAATTTATTGACTATTACACTTTATGTATAATACAACATTTTTTATTTTAATTTTTTTAATTCTGTAAATAAAAATAAAAAACACTTAAAATCTGATTATAATTTTTTTGAAAAATTAAAATTAACTTATTTGTTAATCTGATTTTTAGAAATCTTGATTGTTTTAAAAATATTTATCTATGTGGTTAATTTTTAATAATTTTTTTAAAGTCAAAATTTATTGAAGAACTTATTAATTTGAAAAGTTATAACTTTTTCCAGTAATATTTAGATTTTACAAGTATCTATTTAAAAAGAAGTTTTTACTTTTTGAATTTAAAATGGTTTTTATGATTAGATCAACTTAACAAAAATAATGATATTTCAAAAAAAATTTGACATGTGTCTAATAACCAGATTTATAAATTGGCTATTTTTAATTTTAATTATGTTATACTCATGTGTCTGTAAATTATATAACAAAAGAAAACTGAAAATATTTATTAGTACAAATAAACATGAAAAATTGATGCTTATTAAATTTATGAACATTTTATGAATATTAAATAATTAAATAATATAAAATTTATACTTATGGCAGGAAATTCCTTAATAGAATATTTTTTTTGAAAAAAATTGTTAATTTTCAAATTAATTAATTCCCAAAAAATATTTATTTAAAAAAAAATTGTTTATATAAACATTTTTAGTATAAAAATTTGTATAAAAATTATATTAACAAATTGGCTTTTTTGAACTTTCCAGAATTTCAAAAAATAAAACTTTTACTGTTTATACTTGCAGCAAAATTGTCTTTTTCATATTGTGAAAAAAATAAATGTCTGAATATCATTAGAACAAAAGTTATTTCATTTGTCAGGTCTATCTGATCCATGAGCGCCAATTGGGGGAGGGGGGGCAAGACAGGGCACTTGCCCTCCCCCTAGAAAAAAATATTATGAACTTGTAGCTCAATAAATATTACCACAATATTACCTTATTACCGAAATTTTTTATTTTGACCCCCCCTAAAATGTTACCTATGGGCGCCCATGATCTGATACACTTTGTTTATTGATTAATAATATATTTGATTTATTCATACATATTATTGTTAACATTAATTTATGATATTATATAAATGATGATTACCTGTAGGAGCAATACAATGCTTATTGATGTTTAGATGCATAATTGCAGTTCGTATTAAGGAGGTTCTACTGTAATATATATAATTAATATGTTAATCTTATGATTATTTGATAATTAATAAATTCATCATATAATTATTTGATTATTAATGTTTTATGTATTTTAAACAAATAATTTGTACAATTGTTTTTAGATTATTTTTACTAGTAATTTATGTACTACATTTAGTGGTTTTAGAAGTTGGAGGTTATGACATTGTCTATTAAGGGACACTTTGTCATCTATTAAGTGTTGTCATCATCTGATGATAAAATTCTCCAAGTCAAGTATTTTCTTCTCTTACTCTGAACTTCACAGTTCAACTTTTTTGCCTCGAAAGCTTGATCCTTCATTGAATTCTTTTAATATTGTTCTTGCTACATTTTAATTTTTCTAAAAATCATAATTTGGAGGGTGGTACACTCATAATTCTAAGTATACTTACCATAGTCATATGAAAATTCACACTAATATCAAACCTAATTGCGTGTGTGGACAAACCCATTTAATTAGTTTAGATTATAATCCTTTCTTTAATGATCACACACAATATAATGATGATAATTTATCATAACTCTAATGGATTAACAAACTTAGATATAAAATGGAAATCATTGGCCCTCTTCAAATTATTTCAACACTAATTTGACTAAAAAATTCTTTTTGAATATAATGATATAATTTCTATCTAAATAATAGTTTGGATCAATTAAAATTTGTTCTATACAAATTTATATAAAAATAAATTGCAAAACATATGCTTACTCTTAAGTTCATGAATGTCATTGCTATTTCTAGATGATGGTTTATTCATGCATGTGTATGTCAAATGTTTTTAATTAATTAGTTGTCTTACATCATATTTTAGAGTCAGTTATTGTTTTTCATGCGTTATCGTCACTTCAGATCCTTGATTATTGAATTGCCTATATAAGATAGCATTTTAAATTTTTTAATACTAAACATTACAACCTTGCATACCAGATGATTAAGTGTTTCTACACTCATTATTTCAAAAAGTTTTAATTTTTTTGAAAGTATTTTTTTTATTTGAATGTACGTTAATTAAAAACATTCAAAACAATTTTTTTCAAAAATGTTAGGGTTTTAAAATTTCATGAAATTTATTTCCTTGAAATATTTCATTTCAATGAAAAATAAAAAATAAAAATATTGATTGAAATAATTGAAAATAATGGGGCTTAGATTTTGATATTTATTTTTAGACCTATTTTTAAATACACCCGGAGAATTTAACAAAATAAGAAACAAGTAATAGCCCATCCATATAAGAAATTAATGTTGGGAAATGAACATCTATATTTATTTAATAATCGTATATTCGTGCATTGTACCACGTAAACGCGATATTCTCCCCAGTCCCTAATACTTGCTGTGTTAATTTGATTTTGACTAGTAGATGAGAACAATGGCGTATCTGGACCATATTCTGATATAGATTTGGAGCTTCTTTTAGATGTGCCTTTTAAAATCTAACAATTAAAAATTGAAACATTTTAAAATAATAGTTAATTTTTTACTTATAAAAACAATTAAACAATATCAATATACACAACATTTTATTTACCTATAAAATAATAAATTTATGGTTACCTGTAAATTATGTTTAATGAACACTAGTTTAGCAGCTCTTTCATTTACAAGTTTATTCCTTTTTAAACTATGAACATCTTTATATGTACTAAAAGTGTGTTCTACAGCAGCGGAAGTTGCAGGTAAAGATAGAATTTCTAGAGCTATTTTACCAAGTTCTGAATCATTACAAAATGCTGTCCACCAATCTAATGCATCTGTTTCTTCTGTAGCAACCCAAAGATATTCTTTAGTTTTTGAAAATGTTCCGGTTTTGTTTTTAAAGTTGGAAAAATCAAAAATTAATTTTCTTGCATCAATTTCTATATTATCCATGTGTTTGGATAACTGATAAATACATTCTACTGCTTTATTGTAACCATCTGAGTTAAAATATTTACCAAAGTATTTTGGGTCAAGTTTATTTGCAGTTTCATGGATTTTAGATTGACAAAATTCTTTTCTTAGATTAAGAGCTTCCATAATATTATGTTTTTCTTCAATATTTAAAATGTTATTATTTTTTAATGTATCTTCAAATGATGTTTTTAATTCTATAAATATTTCAGGTACAATACTTAATTGTGGTGTATCACTTTCAATTTTAGTAATCCATTTTGCTACTGGATTCATAAGACAATAGAAATATTCAACTTTTTTCCAAAAATTTAAACTGCTTATAGTTTTTTTTATATTTGGCATTAGGTCTTTTTCAACAATTTCATCAACATTCATTGAACAGATTATTTGTTTATTAACTAACAGTGATTTAAAAAAACCACTACTGATCCCCATCTAGTAACAACTGGTAACGTAAGTGCCATAGAAGTGGAACTATTTGCATTTCTTTTATCCTGAAATACCACACTAGTTATGTGCCCTTTTTTTCTATTATAGACTATATCTTTTCCATCATTAATTAACTCTTTTAATGAATTAATTTTAATTATATCATTTATCAGTAAATTTAAACCATGTGCAACACATCCATATGAAGTGATATGAGGATACTTTTCAGCTATACTAGTCCAAGTCTTTTTCATATTTTTAGCATTATCTGTAACAACACCATAAACTTTACGTGGGCCAATTTCTTCAATCACAGAAATAATATGCTCAGCCACATTTTCTCCAGTATGACGATCAACTCCAGTAGCTAATGACTTATAAAAAATTGGTTTAGGAGTTGTAATTACAAAATTGATTATACTTTCATTCCGGATGTTAGTCCAGCCATCACACATAATACCAAGAGCATTAGAATCAGCGATACAAATTATGGTATGATCTTTAACTTTAGAGAATTCATCATCTAGAAGTTTCTTTGAAATTGAATGATTAGTAGGTGGTCTATATGCTGGGCTAAGTGCTTAAAAAAATTCTATCCAGTAAGAGTTATCCACTAAACTCAATGGAGCAGCTGTAGCATAAACTGTACGAGCCAAAAGAACATCAATATATTTTTTTCTTTGAGATTCATTTTATCACAATATTTAAGAAATTACTGCTGTTATTAAAATTACCACAAGATACATTTGTAAATGTATTAGAACTAGATATAAAACTTTGGTTTTGGTTAAAACTAAATGATGTAGTTGGTGTTGAATTATATATAATCCTATCAAGATCCTTTTTATTCATACTACTTGATGTAGTTATAAAAGAGGCATTTATTGTTGATTCTAGGTTTACTTCTAATGGATCATCAATATTAATATCATTTATATTTTCTTCAACACAATGATTACCTAAAATTAAAATATAATTGAAATTTAACAATTCATATATTTTACTGTTTAATAGATAAGCATAGGTAGATAATAACTTAAACTTTAATAAATAAATAAAGAATATAGGTACACCTTGTGCAAGTGTACAACTAATTCATGATGCAAATGTCAAATACCTATTATTGTTAATTAAAAATAAAAATAAAAAATAAAATTATTCCAAATGTATAAATGAATCATATATTCAAATATAATAATTAAAAAATTATGTAGTTACTTATTTATAGTGAAGATTTATCAAACTTATAACTACCCAAAAGATAATTTTGATATAAGTAGTACTTATAAATGTACTTTTTTAATTTAAACTATTGCCTAGTGGAAAATTCTGATGTTATAATATAAAAGTTCTTACAAAATATCTAGTTAAAATATAAATGCATTCATAAATAAATGATGGAGAGTTCTTAATTTTTCAGGAATTTTCTTTATTTAAAAGTGTGAGAGGAAAGTGTTTAAGTACCTATCTCAAATCATATTTCTTGTTATAACATAATCTAACTTGAAGAGATTTTTAATCAAATGAAAAAACTGACTACTTAGTTATAACTTTGGGTGTTATGACTTTATGAGTTAATGAATATAGTCTATGAGTTAGATATTTATTTTTATATAGATTATTAAACTTATAAATTTACTTACTTATAGACGTAGTAGACTTTTCAAGATATTTTTGATGGTGTCTAAGATTTTTTTGAACGACTTACTTCCTTCTTTTATATGTTCATCACGAAAACATTTATGAATATCGTGCATTTTTTTACCCATATTAATTTATTAAAAATATTAAATTAAAAACGAAGTAATGTCATAACAGGCAACAATCGTTATAAATACAATTAATACAGAAGAACTAGAATACTGAATAAGAAAAATAACAATACTGCATTGCCGCTTTACCTCCAAAAAACACAACGAATAAAAATAATAATCCAACTGATAAGTGATGAAACTGATAACCGATGTACCGCATTATATTAAGCAGTTAACAAACTAAATTTACACAGACTTCAGTCATATCTATACTCTAGAAGTCTGTAAATTTATAACCATTAACATAAACCATAATCATAATATTTCGCTAACCATGGTTAATATAAATTATAAGTGATAAGTTATTCACTATCAATATTTTCTGTGTATAATCAATATATTATTTTATTTATAATCATCTATAATCAAACACGTTATAAAGAAAAAAAATATTTTTCAATATTTCAAGAGTAAAATTTTCAATTTTTCAATATTTCAAGAGTAAAATTTTCAATTTTGAAATATTTCAAGTGAAATATTTCAAATTCAGAACCCTACATGTATGAGAATTACACTATAATATATAAAAAAAAAGTTGGAATTGTGGGTACTGTTCTGCTGTAAAGAAGTTGTCAAGTTGTCATTTAATGGATGTGTTATATTTGAATTCAATAATAAATTATTGTATGAAAAATTGAAAAACGATTTTGAGCATCATCCTAGCATACTTGTATAAATAATTTAAAAAATCGAAAATATCTTATTGCTATGAATAGAGTACATTTCCAGTGAAGTTTTTTTTTTTGATAAGGGTAGAAAAACTTGTTGAGAATCATTTTAGTAAAGTTTCCAACTGAAAAATAATTTCCAAATTCTAGGGATTTTTATTAGAATTTTGTTGAATTTTGTCAAAAATTTTTTTGTAACTTATTTGTTGTTTCTAACAGTTCATTTTGTCTGTATAACAAATGCTGGATAAATAAACCTAAATTGTCTGAAAAAAATACATGCATATAAATTGGATTACTTTTGTTATAAATTGTTAGAAAATGTCTTCATATAATTAACTTAGAGGACTATTTATTATTTTTAATGATATAGAACCAATATTATTAACTAGTTGACATTAAAATAATGAATAAAGTCCTATACAGCTATTTTACTAAAATAAAAATGATCTCTTACGAAAAATATACAACCTGCACAGAATAGAAAAATGCTACCAGAGTCCAATTATAGTAGCGAATGTACGACCAGCCATCTTATTTTATACAGTGTCCAGTCCTATGTAGTAGTTAATGATATTTATAGACGTATTGACGCAAAACTAATTTTCGTTGTTATAAAACAACTGGATATTCATACATAAAAAGTGTTATCTGTCATTATTTAAAATCAAAGATCAATAATCACGTCGTTATTTGATAAACGATTTCAAGATTTTAGATACTCATAAATTCTGTTTTCTATATTAATTTAACAAGCAAAGTACTAAATATGATAATTCTTGCTTTACGTATTTGTGTATTTGAACTTAAGATTTTTAATCTGATAAAAATTTAAAAAAACTAAAAAATATTAAATATTAAATCTTTTACCTTTTTTTAACAAAGCACAAAGTTAACCATACTTCAACTATAGATCTTTAAGATCTTCACTCACTAATTTTGTTTTAAATTTTTTTCGATCTTTTAGTTTTTTATTTTGGCCGATAACATACATTTTTATTTTATATTTAGAAATATAATATTTTCGAAATATTTTGATAAATAAAAATTGAATTTCGAACAAGTAGTTAATTAGTTATAACTTATAAGCATTTAAAGTTTTGATGAGTGGAGTAGAGTGGCATAAATATAACCTAGGAAAAATATGTTAATCCACTTCTCATTATTTATAACTTGGTATGTGTCACAATGTGACTTGTGTGTTATAAAAGTCATTACTCATTAGTTGTATATATTATGTTGCATATACTAAGCGCCGTCTTACAAAAATAGTATTTTTTTCCGTATTCTTATATTGTTATTTTGTTCTCAAATAGAGTATACTTTATTTGCGATTTCCAAATATAATGAAATATAATATAGTTTATTATAATGTATTATAGGTTGTCCTGTACATAGTATGTCTTCGCAAGAATTTTTGTCATCGTCTTCAAAAATATCCAGTGCATCGTCTTTGATTAAACACTAGCCACAACCTCACTAATGTCAAAGATTACGTTGAAATGTTAAATAATAGATTCAACAAGGACAATCAAATATTGAGGGACAGCCTCCCATCGTTGGCGAGAGTGAAATTGAGTTAGCGCACGATACGGTATGGTACCTAACAAAAATTTAATTAATTAAATCCTTAAAATAAGTCACAATATAGTTTTTCAGTGACAGATTAAAACCAAACTGGGAAATATGAGGGTTTTTTAATATTAATAATGTTAGAGAAGACACTTAGTTTGTACCAAGTACAGTTTAACGTAGGTATATTGAAGTATGTAATATATATTACTTTACTGACACTAAGAGCAAGCGATAACACGAGACTAGTTCTACAAGCGTATTTGTAGTAGGTCGAAGTATTATTATTAACAATTTTGTTAAGTTATCAAAAATAGTTATGTTTAAATGCCGAGACTCCGATATTCATAATCCTTAAAAATACAATTTTTATACTTTTTGTTTAGATGTCTGATATTGGCTCTTTGTTTAAATAAAAATTTGATTTCAACCACAGTTTTTTTGTAGTTTTCTAACTTTTTTTAACTCAACAACTTGCAACAAAGCTCAGAAAAAAAAATACATTATAATATATACGTATTATAAAATATTATCCTTGTACCATTCTTCAAAACATTTACCAGGGAAATGACCACAACTTTTGCATTGGAATGATGTTTGTTTCCTTATTTTCGTCTTATAGCACTGCTTACAGTGTTTAAAGTATGTTTCTCTTTTAAAATTTAGCGGAGGAGGTATTTTTTCTGAGTAGGTAATTATTATTTTCAGGTGCTGCTTTTTAGCTTTTTTTGTTTTTGAAAAGTTCTGCTGCAGTAGTTTCTATTGGAAGACCAATTAAATTTTTGATGAGTAAATCACGGAATTGCTTAAAGGTAACGTTTGTTGCACCAAACTTTCTGTTAAAAATAAAATATGAATTCCAGGTGAAGCAAATGAAATAGCACCTTTTTATACCATCTAGCAGTTTTTCTGGGACACGAGTAATAGCTTACCATCTGATCTGAACGATCTATACCACTCATAAAATCATTGTAGTCCTTTATCTCTATTGGTTTATTTTTTTCGAGACCATATCTATTTGTTGTAGATATAATTTTTGGGTGATTTTTAGTTTTAATACAGAGCACGTCTCTTTGTCTTTCCACTTTGACACATATACATTTTTATTCCGTCTCCCCATACACATTCGCCATGTTTTAATTTTTTGGCAGTCACTTCCTTGGGATTTCTTTTGCGGTTGCTTCTTAATGAGTGATTTTTTTTCAAGCAATAAATTTGATAATGTGACACTATTGTAAAAATTATCCATGTAAAGGCTATGCCCTTTATTTAAGTACGGTTTCATCAGATGAAAAACAATACTGTCAACTTTTGTTGTAAAACCTTCAAGGTTAGGTTCAATAACTGTTGATGGCGTATTAAAATTAAAATATCGTTAAAAACCAACGAGAGTACATAGATAACTTTTTTATCTAATAGTTTGACAATAATTAAATTCACTCTAATATCAAAATTAACAGCACACTGTTGAAATCAGTAAACGAACATTTTGCCATGTCGTACGTGTAAAAGACGGTGACAACCCATGCGGATGAGACGTTCTCTCTTAATCTATAGTAGTTTTTGATCAATATTTCAGGGAAAATTGTTAAATCATACTAGCAGGCCCGCATAATATGATTCTATTGGTCGGTCGTTATTTATATTCGTCATCAATTGTATTAACTTACATACGCACAGGCATTGACAATGATATTAAATGAAAATAAATTTTTTCAATTTAAAAAAGTGACTGTTAAACCAAAAAGCTAGACAAGACTGAAGATATTAGGTTTGGAGGATTTTAATTTTAAAAACTGATTTTAATTGATTAACAAGTTTTTAGGTTACTATTCAATCGGTTTTTAATAGGTATCTATTTTTTTAGTTGTGATACCGTCATATTGATGAAGAAAAGTATGATTTTTGTTTATTTATATTATTCATCCCCACACAAATATTGTTCGAAATATTTTAAATGACCTCTATTCAAATTTAGGTTTTTTTTATAAATCATAATCTGTTTTCAAAATTAAAATTCGTCAAACCAAATTAATTATGTTTTGTCAGGATTTTTGGTCTAAAAGCCACTTTTTCATTGGCTACAGCCTCCTTAATTAATTGAAAGTGATAATATTTAACATTTCAGATAAGGACCAAAAAGTTCTACGGAAACCTATTAGTTGTCATTTTTTTACAAATATTTAAAGTTCAAAATTTGACAAAATCATAAAAATGTACAAGATATATTTTGTAGTTATCAATTAATATAATTTTACATTTTTCTAGCTATATTGGTTTGAAAAAAGTGTTGATAAAATAGTGACCGAGAGAGTACCAATACTTTTAGATTCTGAGCGAAGCAATGAATGTATTGATTTTACAAATTTGTGTGCTATTATTTTTTTTTTTTGCGTTTCCATGTTTGTTGCAGTAAAAGTACTTCGATTTTCTTTAACAACAACTTTTCTTGTAGGAAATGAATCTAGTTGGTGCATTCGGGAGGTCAAAATTAAAAATTCTCAATAGTTTTCAAAAGCAACAATAAAAACAAACAAATAGATTAAATTTTCGAGTAGTCGGTTAAATTATAGTAACGTATTACGTAATTGATAATTATGCTGTTAGCTGGAGACTACTAGAACCTTTTTTTGCTAGCAACTAATGTTGTTCTAAGCTAAAAAACGGCATTAATTATAGTTCAAAAGTTAATTTTTTTCGACTTGTAAACTTAACTAGTTGGTTCATTTTCTAATTAATTTAAGAACTTACTAGTTTAAATGACTGTAAAAATAATTTAGTTTTTTCAACTGATTTAAAATAATTTATCTAGTTCAAATTAAAAATGTTTTTGAAACTTTTGGTTTTCATAGTTTTATACTGTATGTCTGAAACTTAACGAGGTTTTAAATAAAAATAATAGTAATATTTACTATAGAGGCTATAATAATAGTTATACCCGTTATGTTTCTTGTTAAAATAATATTATATAGGTATAGATAGGCACAAAATATTATTTATGTAATCCACGTACTAATTAAAAAAGTTGATGAGGTAACTTGTTTTAAATTAAGTTATTTTTTCTCATGTTAACTTTAAACTCAGCGAGTTCAATTTTAGATTCTGAGAGAAGCGATAAATGTATTGATTTTACAATTATGTGTCATGCATGTTTTTTTATTCATTTACTTTAGTTTATTTTTTTTGTCTCTGTGATAACGGTTTGGGGCAATAAAAGTGCATCGATTTTCTTCAACAGCAACTTTTCTGGCAGGAAAGTTATCTAGTCGGTGGGATCGGGAGATCAAAATTTAATATTCTCAATAGTTTTCAAAAGCGACAGAAAAAAACAAACAAAAAATTAATTTTTGAGCAAAACTAGTTTTCGAAACATCGATTTTAGTGTTTAGTATAACGCTAAATAAAATTACCGTAGATCGATGAAATTTTCACTGAATATTTGTGTTAGTATTTTCTTTGCACCAAAAAATTTTCAAAATATTTTGACTTGTGTTGAACTATTTATAGGCATATGAAATTTTCGATTATTATTTGTTTTTTAAACTAATGTCGATAAAAAAATTTCCAATTGGTCAAAAAACTTGTTAATGTAATACAATGTTCCTCGTATGTTGTTAGTGCAAATTTAAAAAAAAGTTGAGCAACAATTCACAATAATTTTTTATGAGCGTTTAAACATAGAATTTTGACAAAATTCTTAAAAATCTCGAAAATTAGCAAATTATATTTAGTTAGAAATTCATAAAAATATTTTTTGTTCATACTTAAAATTTAAAAATTTAATGCAAGATTCCTTATAAACTTGTCTACCTTTATCAAAAAAAAAAATGTTTACCGGAAAGTCAAATTACATTTTTATGAGCGTTTGAAGTTAAAATTTTTACAACATTGGATATTCACACAATTTCTCTTGTAGCGCTTTTCTTATTTTGTTGTAATTCAAAAACTAATTTCTGTAGACACTTGAAATTTACACCATATATTTATTTTATAAGTTCATATGCTTGAAAATATTATTCAATATATTTTGACTCGTTTTAAGCTGTTAACGGACATTTTCAATTTTCAACGTTAGGTTAAATTTTCTATAAATGTTTATACAATTTTATTGGTTGTGTCAAAAAGCATGACAATTTAATATAAGACTTGATATATTGTTACAAAATCAATTGAAAAATATTAAAAATACATAGTGACGATTTTTTTTTATAAGCATTTAAAGTTCAAAAGTTGACAATATTTATCAAATTGAAAATAATTTTGTAGTTAAAAATGTATACAATTTTCAATTTGTATAGCTAAGGTTTAAACATTTAAAACAAGATTTCACTTAAGCAATTTTTTCCGTTACTACAAAATCTATGAAATTTATTAATACAGTTATTTTTTACAGACATTTTAATGTCAAATATGGCCAAAATTGCATATTAACACCAAGTTATGAATAAAGAATAACGGTTATCATTTTGCAGTAATTCGGTTCCAAAACAGTCTATATACTGTCTAAACATAGATATATTTAATATTTTTCCAGCATCACCGATAATTTTTGAACAATATTAATTCAACTTACCGGCTACTATATTGTAAGTAGTAACAATATAAAATATCCTAGACTGACATACTGTCTCCGTTCAGAATCGTATTTCATATACAGTGATATTATGATATCACTGAATTCTAATTTAGTACCATCCATTACAGCGACCTCCTAGACACCTAATGTACAGCAGAGCGACATCCACTTACCCGCTTTTTTATCATCACTATTTTGTTGTACCTATTGTGTCTTTAGAACCTATTTGTTTTAATACGAGTTACGCATCGAAAGTTTTGATTTAAACAACTATTAAATGATTGTAAGTCGAGTATGTATATGTTACGGGCAATATGGTCCTGCCCGGGCAATGGAAACCACAATTTTTTTTTTTGACCAACTAATATTATTTTTCATTATTATTATAAATTATAATCATTAACTATTTATAGTATTGATTTTTTTTAAAAAACAATCATTATTAA